AACGCAAAAACTTTAATTCTTCAAAAATTACTACATTTTATTAAAAAAAAAAAAAAAACATTTTAAAATTAAAAAACAAAAACAATTTAGATTTATTATTTAAAATAAACGGTTTTAAAACAGTTATGATATAAAAAACATTTCTGTAAAAAAACAAGTATTAAACACCGCACTTGACCCCCACAAGTGGGAGAAATGTGCCTCATTACTACTACTCTTCAGAAATCTGAAAATTTAAGGTCTTCAATCTTATTTTTGCTTAGTTTTTCATGGTTTAATTTTTTTTAAGACAAAAACTATAACCTCGGGACAAAATTTAAAAATGTGTATAAGTTGATTAAAGTTTTAAAAATGCTATTTAAGTAGTTTAAAACACTGTTAAAATCTTATCAAAGATCGCAAAAAACTTTAATTCTTTCATGGTCTACAAAAATTACTATGACGATATTTTATTAAAAATAACATTTTTTCGTTAGATTTTGAAAAAAAGTACATAAAAATCTTTAATTATTTTCTTGACTTTCGTCTAGAGTGCCTTGTTTCAAGACATCGCAACTAAAAAAATTACATCACCATTGATATATCTAATAAAAAAAAATTAAAATAGTCTTATTTTTAAGTGTTTCCAATATTTTTTGTATTCTTGGCACACTATGGCATTAATATGTAAAATAAAAATTAAAAAAGTGAAAGATTTATTATTTACATAAATAATTTTAAACAATCATCAGGAGTACTAAATACTGCACTTGATCCCCACTACAAGTGGGAGAAATGTGCCTCATTACTACTCATCAGAAATCTGAAAATTTAAGGTCTTGAATCTAATTTTTTCTTAGTTTTTCATAGTTTAATTAAAAAAAAAATTAAAAACTATAACCTCGAGACTAAATTTAAAAATGTGTTTAAAATGTTATTTAGTTCAAAATACGGTTATAATCTCGTCAAAGAATGAAAAAACTTTAATTCTTTCATGGTCTACAAAAAAAAACATCATTTTTTTTGTTAGATATTGAAAAAAAAGTATATAAAAATGTTTAATTATTTTCTTGACTTTCTTGTCTAGAGCGCCTAGTTTCATCATAGCAACTAAAAAAAATGACATCACCATGGATATGTCTACTAAAAAAAATTACAATAGATTTATTATTAACTGTTTCCAATGTTTTTTTGAATGAAGATAGAAATCTGAAAATAGGGTCTTGAATCTTATTTTTTTCTTAGTTTTTTTTTTAAAGACAAAAAATTATAACCTTGAGACAAAATTTAAAAATATGTATAAGTTGATTTTAAAAAAATATTAAAATCTTGACAAAGAACGTAAAATACAATTTTTTTTGGTCAACAAAAACTACAGCAATATTTTATTAAAAAAAAAACATTTAGGCAAAAATATACAAAAGTCTTGTTATATTTTTTTATCATTAATTATTTCTTGCCTTTTGTCTAGAGTGCCTTGCTCCGAGTCTGTGTTTCAAATAATCATAGCAACTAAAAAAATGATCACCATGGAAATGTCTAATAAAAAAAATTTAAATTGACTTATTAAATGTTTCCATGGCAATGACATTTACTTTTTGCGTTTTTGTGGTTTCTATGGTTATGGCTATATCTAAAGTAAAAATTAAAAAACAGTCAATGAGTATTAAACACAGCACTGGACCCCCACCACTTGCCATGCGCGCGCACCTATCCACAAGTGGGGGAAATGTGCCTCATTACTATTCACTTTTGTGAAATAATACCAAGTCGGAAATTGCGCCAATCAAAACTCACCAAGTGCGAATCCCGTGTGGTAAAGGTGATAGGATCGTGGGATTCCCCCGCCGGACATTTATAATCAAGTTGGCCAGCCACAGAGATGAGATGACTACCGGAACGACCCAACTCGAGCAGATTTAACCGTAACGTATCTGCCACAAATTCCACCTAAACAAAATCGGTTATAACCGAACCGAAATTAATCACCCTCAACTCACTTTTCGCATACAACCGACAAAATTGGTATGGACACGAGCCCCAGGAAGCGCCCGAGTGTTGATACTTCCACCCACGTAGACGCGACTCGAGGACAACATCGTAAACTTACCGGCGATGTGCGAATGGTCGGCGTACACGCCATCCACCACGGCCGAGAGCTAAAAAAATTTCTGTTACTATACAGGGTGTTCCCTCTAAACCCCACATTAAAGTACTGGGAGTTTGAGTAATTGTATTTATTTGAAAATTGGTACATAGTCATAAACCATTAAGTCCTCCTAAATGAAAATATTTTCAAGATGGCGGCACTTCCGCTTATACCGGAAGTCGGTCTCAACTTTCTTATTTTAAATGGAAGGGTATATTTTTTAGTGTGTTTTTGGATTAATCGGGTTATTTTAAGGGAGTTTTCATCAGCTTTCCCTATACCTAAATTTAGCCGTTTTTGAAATATTTGGAGTTTTTTAAAAATTTTTGGATTTGCACCTTCTACCTTAAAAATCGGTAACTCTGCCATTTTTTAAGATTTTGAATTGGTTTTTTTGGCGTTTGAAAGAGAAAGCTTGATCCTTTTTCTGGTGTTTTCAAATTTTGAAAAAAAATAATACATATTCCAAAATTTGTAATAATTCAAATACTCATCTCAATTTTTTTTCTAGGCTTGCAAAATTTCTTAAAGAAATTCTTAAATTTAAAAAAAATGTCATTCGAGACGTTTTAACACATCGTGCTACAAAAGACAGTTGGGGAGACTAAGAAAGTGTCAGATGTATTGGTTTAAAAAATAACAAAAAGCAGAAGAAAAAACTAGTTCAAATAATGTATTTTTATCATTTTGTGAAAATTGTTCACTGAAAGTTTCTCTTTAAACAAATGAGAAGAATTATATAACTTTATTGTATTCTAAGAGGGAGATCTTATTATTATTATTATTAAAAAAAAACTAACAAAGAAAAAATTTTCGATGGAAAAAAATTGTCAAAATAAATAAGAATTAGACATTTTAGATCAAATTTTTCAATTTTGGCAAAGTCTTTTGAATTTTGAGCGTTTTTGGTTATAAAATCCTTCTAAACTTAAAGAAAATAACAAATTTTCGACTTAATTTTGCTATTTCTACTTCACGATATTTTTCAAATTTAGTAAGTTTCCCCAAAAAAAAACGCTTTTTAAAACTTGGAAGAATTACGTATTTTCAGATTTAATTTTGTACTTTTCTGCCTTGTTTCTGGCAAAAATTTTTTGGATTTTAAAAGCTTTAAGTATAAAAAATGCTCTAAATTTTAGAAAATATTCAAATCCTGTCGAATTTGAATAAGAGTTTCATTTTTTATTTAGTATAGTGTCAATCAAGAATTTTCAAAACATCGTCCTACAAAAGACAGTTGGGGAGACTAAGAAAGTGTCAGTTGTACTGGATTAAAAAATTTCTTAAAGAAATGCTTAAATTTAAAAAATGTCAATCGAGACTTTTTTCTAGATTTGCAAAAAAACCGTTTAAAAATTTCTCAAATAGAAATGCTCAAATTTAAAAATTGCAAATTGAGATTTTTGAAAATATCGCGTTACAAAAGACATTTGGGGAGACTAAGAAAATGTCAAAAAATAACGGCTTAAAAAATTTCTAGACTTGCAAAAAAACATTTAAAAATTTCTTAGAGAAATGTTTGAATTAAAAAAAAATGTCGATCGAGACTTTTTAAAAACCGTGCTATAAAAGACAGTTGGGGACACTAAGAAAGTGTCAGACTGGTTTAAAAAAATTTTAGGCTTGCAAAAAAACATTTAAAAATTTCTTAAAGAAATGCTTCGATCAAAAAAAATGTCAATCAAAATTAAAATTTTAGGGTTTGTTAATTTTTTTTTTCAAAATTTGAAAACACCGTATGAAAGATCTAAGCTTTCTCGTTCAAACGCCAAAAAAACGCATTCAAAATCTTAAAAAATGGCACCGATTTTTAAAGTGGAAGATGCAGATTCAAAAATTTTTGAAAAACTCAAACGGCCAAATTTTGGTATAGGAAAAGCTGATAAAAACCCCCTTAAAATAACCCGATGAATCCAAAAACGCAGTAAAAAATATACCTTTCCATTTAAAATAAGAAAGTTGAGACCAACTTCCGTTATAACCGGAAGTGCCGCCATCTTGAAAATATTTTCATTTAGGAGGACTTAATGGTTTATGGCTTTGTACCAATTTTCAAATAAATACAATTATTTGAACTCTGAAGACTTTTAATGTGGGGTTTAGACGGAACACCCTGTATTTGAATTTTTAATAAGTTTTCAAACAGTTGTAGATAATAAACCGATTTTATCGGTTTTTCAATTAATGTTACTCGAACATATAATTATGTGTAGACTCGTAATGGGGAATAAAACTCAAGCATTACAAGAAATCTCATCAGCGGTGGCACTTTGTCGACAAAATGCCAAATTATTAGAGACACATGGGCCCCAATTACACACCCTTTTGGGGCTATATTCAATGAGTATGAATTGTATGGAGGCGGCTGAGGCGCAATTCATGGCGGCGTTACACGTAATTAGGGTTTTTAAACGGAAATGTCACTAGTTGCTATGGAGATGTGACTAAATGACAAATTTGACATTTGTTGCTAGGGTTATTTAAACAGAAATGTCACTAGTTGCTATGGAGATATGACAAATTTGACATTTGTTGCTATGGTAATGACAAACTTTTGGTGATTTTGGTGATTTCCGTTTAAAAAAAAAACACCATATTTGTAGTAGAATTTTATTTAATTTATTATTTAATAAATGTGTTGTAGACGTCACGTGAACGTGAATTATGGACGTTTGCAAACTTGAATCTAGCAATTGTGTATTTGAGGGGTAAACGAGAGTCGGATTTTAATGCCCTTCATGAAAGGATTAATCCTGAATCTTTGCCATCTCATTCTCATAGTTTACGAGCTGCTGCTTATTACGTCCAAGGTCTTCAAGCGTTTTTTCAAGGACGTTACAATGAGGCCAAGTATGTGTTTGGCAACCCTGCAACAATCAAATTTTGCACTGTTGCCAGTTTTTGATATTGTGATTTGTGTTTAAGGAGGTATTTGCGCGAGACGTTGAAGATGGCGAATGCCGAGGATTTAAATCGGTTAACGTCGTGTTCGTTGGTGCTTTTGGGGCATATTTTTCTCTCGTTGGGGAATAGTCGTGAAAGTATGAATATGGTAACGCCGGCAATGCAATTGGCGAGTAAAATCCCCGATGTTCATGTACAGTTGTGGGCGTCTGCGATTTTGAAAGGTTGGTAGGATTGTTTGGTGTTTTTTTGGTGATTTTGTTTTTTTTTTTGTAGATTTGTATAGGATGTGTAATGATCCGCAAAGTGAGAATGAAGCGTATCAGAGACATGTTAATTTCTCACAAATGTTACTCAATGATCATTTTCAAGCATCACAAATGCCCGAACATAATTTGATTATGTGGACACAAGGGAGTTTTCCCAACATCACCAATTCGCCGAATACGTCTGGAGTTTTATTGTAATCGACTATTTATTAATTTGTATTCGAATTTATTTTTTATATAATTGGTCTTGAATAAAACGATTAAAAATTGCGTTTGTCATTTTAGCACTTTGGTATATCTTGCATTGACCCGATTCTACATAACATTAGTTGACATTTGAATTTTTTGACGTCCCGCCAAATTCAAAATTTTTTGAAGATAAATATTAACTTTTCATGGAAATTTCCCTTTTTCTCAAGGACATTTATTTAAAAATGCTGGCATTTTTGCCATGTTTTAAAATTGTGGCCACTAATTGAATATTTTTAAATTGAATTATTACGTAATTTCCCGTAAAAAGTCAAATTACCGCACATTTTTTTTTGGATTTGGTATATCTTGCATTGACCCGATTCTACATTAGTTGACATTTGAATTTTTCAAATTTTGACGTCCCGCCAAATTCAAAATGACATTTATGGTCACTATTTTTAGGGTTTTTGAAGATAAATATTGATTTTTCATGGAAAGATCCCCTTTTTTCAAGGGCATTTAATTAAATGCTGTCATTTTTGACACTTTGTATTTCAAATCTTGACAAATTAAAAAAAAAAAACTGTCAACTGAGAAATTTGACGTTTTGGTGCTTAAATCAAATAAACACATCGGTAAAAAGAGACAGCTCAAGTAGCACATTTAATCTTTTAAAAAACAAATCAGCTTTATTGTTATTTTATAACTAATGTATGTATTACCAACTTGTTTTATTACAGATCTAATTATGATCAAAAGGAGTTTGGCTATAGCATTAGCTATACAGGATGTTCCGTCTAAACGCCACTTTAGAAGTATTGGGAGTTGGAATAATCATATTTGTTTGAAAATTGGTACATAGCCATAATGCATTAAGTCCTTCTAAATGAAAATATTTTCAAGATGGCGGCACTTCCACTTATACCAGAAATCGGTCTCAACTTTCTTATTTTAAATAGAAAGCTATATTTTTTAGTGTCTTTTTGGATTAATTGGGTTATTTTGAGGGAGTTTTCATCAACTTTCCCTATACCTAAATTTAGCCGTTTTTGAAATATTTGGAGTTTTTCAAAATTTTTTGGATCTGCACCTTCCAATTTAAAAATCGGTAACTCTGCCGTTTTTTAAGATTTTCATTTCGTTTTTTCCCAAAATAATGGAAAATTACCTCAAGAACGCTCTAAAAAACTAACAAAATGTCTTGTTTTTGAACACCCCAAAATGGCTTTTTACTTCTGGGGCAGGGCATTTGGTGTCTTAAAAAACAAGGCAGAATCTTAGAAATTCAGCTGTTCTCCCAAAGGTAAACATCCGAAAAAGACCTAAAACCCTTCAGAATTAAAGCATTAATTTTTATTAGTAGGTATTATTATTTTATTAGTACCCCAAAAGTACTCAAATATGTGTAGACCACCAAAAATTGGGCATATGAAAAAACCGTTGAAAATCATGTAAAATTATCTCACGAGCACTCTAAAAAACTTACAACATACCGTGTTTTTAGACACTCCAAAATGGCTTTTTATTTCTGGACCAGAAAAACAACACCAAATCAAAAAGGTATATTTGGCGCCTTACAAATCATAATTTTTTATGTTCCCAAAAAATACTCGAAACTCGATAGACCACCAGAAAATGGGCACATGGGAAAATCATCCAAAATCAAACATAATTACATTAAAAAAAGCACCCAAAAAACCTTACAGCATTCCTTGTTTTGAGACACCCCAAAATGGATTTATTTTTACTTCTAGAGAAAGCATTGGCACATGCAAAAAGTTCACTGGGCGGTGTGGCGACCGGTAATAATATTAAACAAATAAAAGCTCTTGTTTTTAGATTCCCAAAATGGCTTTTTTATTTCTGGACCAGGATAATAATTGGTAAAATCCCTTGGTTTGCAACACCCCAATATGCGACTATGCCTTCAGAATGTTTACAGAATTAATAAAAATAAGTGCAAA